TTTAGGGTTTTTAGGATTAGGAGTTTAGGATTTAAGGTTTATGGTTTAGTTTGGGGTTAGGGCTTAGGGTTTAGGGTTTAGGGTTTACCGTTTAGAGTTTAATGTTTTGGGATCTAAGTTTAGTGTTTTGGGCTTAGGGTTTAGGGTTTATGGTTTAGGGTTTAGGGTTTAGGGTTTAAAGTTTAGGGTTTAGGTTTAGGGATTTAGCGTCTAGGGTTTTGGGTTTAGTGGTTTAGGGTTAAGGGATTATTGTTTAGGGTTTATGGATTAATGCTTTAGGGTTAGGGTTTTGGGTTTACGGTTAAGGGGGGTCTAGGGTTTTTAGGTTTTAGGGTTTAGAGTTTATGATTTATGATTTAGGGTTAGGGTTTAGGGTTTAGGGTTGAGGGACTAGTGTTTAGGATTTAAGGTTTAGGGTTTAGGGACTTGGGTAGAGTGTTTAGGGTTGAGAGTTTGGGTTAATGGTTTAGAGTTAAGGTTTGGGTTTAGGGTTTAGGTTTTAGGTTTAGGACTTAGAATGGGTTTAGGGTAAGGGATTATGATTAGGATTTAGGGTTTAGGGTTTAGAATTTAGGATTTAGGGTTTAGGGTTTTGGGTTTAGAGTTTTGAAATTAGGGTTTAGGGTTTAGAGTTTTGAAATTAGGGTTTAAGGTTTGTTGTTTAGGTTTAGGGATTAGGGTTTAACATTTAGGGTTTAGGGTTTAGAGTTTAAGGTGTATTGTTTAGGGTTTATGGTATAGGGTTTAGGATTTAGGGTTTAGGGTTTCGTGTTGTAGGTTTAGGCTTTAGGGTTTAGGGTTTTGGGTTTATCTCTAGTAGCTAAAGATTGGAATACAGTAGGGGGAGAGGGGTTCGGGATTTGGAGATTAATTTTTTATGTAGAGGTGCTATTGACAAAAGTTTTATTCTGGTTTTGTTTGGGACTGTTTTGGTTAGTTCTCTGCTGGCTAGGTCTGTAGATATCAAAGCTGGAAGAGACTTTGATTGGAGGGGGGATTTTAGGATCTATATCATGACCCTTATGAGTGATCTTCCCATTTTGTTCTTTTACCTTATCTCCACCAGCCTGCACAACAACATGACCTTTCTCATGCTCATTTTGACTACTATGCAAATTATTACTAGGAGAATTATTATGATCAGCAGCATTTGGAGCAAAGTTAACGAACTTACCTGCCATCTCCTTGTTGGAGTTGTTTGGCTGTTTCCCTCTATTCTCATTGCTTTGTTGCATTGTCTTCTCATTGTTGTTTGCCTAATCTTTCACCCGCCAATTGACCTTCTCCCCTTTGCCATGTTGTTTGCCATTTGATATCCCTGTTTGATCCTTAGCATTTGTGTGCTGTGCTGCTTGAGTTCCTTTTGTTGTTGCCTCTTGATTCCCCTGCATTTTCCCCTTCATATTGCCATCTGTGGTCTCCTTTGTGATCATCTTCTCTTGATCATGTTGTAGTGGTTCCGTCCTTTGAATTGAAGTATGTGTTTTGTCATGGTTGTTTTCTTGATTCAACAAACTTGTCATTCTAATTGATTCCAACTCCTCTCCTTTGTTATGATGATCATCCTTTGCTGTAGCTTGGTCCTGCAAATTGGAAGATGAACAAACATTAATCCTTTGTTGACTTAGGTGGTCTATTACCTTACAGAGGTTGTCTTCATTGCAATGAGTCATTTGGTGTGACTCTTCGTTGCCATTGTTGACCGGAGCTCCGGTGCCTTTGTCGGATTTTATGTCGCCGGATATTTCACCGTCAAAATAGTTCGAGATTTTAGTAAGATTTACTCCTTGGCCTGGGGAAGATTCCCCAGTGGTTGAAACTTCATTTTTCTCATCGGAAGGTGTTCGAAATTGACGGCGCACATCAGACGATTTTGCGGCGATTTCTCCAGAAATTGCCTTCGTGGATCTCTCAATTTGTAGGATGGAATCGTTTGATTTTTGGACTGTAGAAAGATCCTTAGATGTAGATTCATGATTCCCAGTTGAATTAACACGAATCATTCCCGATTGCTCTAGGGACATAATTTTTTAAGCCCAGTCCAACTATTCTTCCGAAATCGCGACATGGATCGCTTCGATTCTTTGCAATTTCGAATAGTTGTCTGATGATTCTGATGAAGCGCCCAGCTGGGGTTTGTTAGTGTTGGAATTGCGCGTCGATTGGGACTGGTCCGGTGGTCGGAGCTGCATCCCCGACGGCTCTATGACCATTCAGGTAGACTGCTGTCTCTACCGCCTGGTGAGAGCATATTTTTTGAGAGAAAATAATTAGAAAATGAGGAAGCGATATGTGTATGGTTTAGGGTTTAGGGATATGGGTTTAGGGTGTATGGTTTAGTGTTTAGGGATATGGGTTTAGGGTTAGGGATTAGGGATTAGGGTTTAGAGTTTAGGATTTAGGGTTTAGGGTTTAGGGATTAGGATTTAGGTTCAGGGTTTAGGGTTTAGGGTTAGGGTTTAAGGTTTAGGGTATGGGTTTAGTGTTTAGGGTTTATGGTGTATGGTGTATGGTTTAGAGTTTAGGATTTAAGGTGTTTAGTTTAGGGTTTAGAGTTTGGATTTACGGATTAGGGTTAAGGGTTTAGCATTTAGGGTTTAGGGTTTACGATTTAGGTTTGAGGGTTTAGAGTTTCGGAATTAGGGTTTAGGGTTTAGGGTTAAGGATTTAGAATTTGGTATTCAGGATTTGGGATTTAGGGTTTAGAGTTTGGATTTAGGGTTTAGGGTTTAGGGTTTATGGTTAGGGTTTATGGTTTTGAGTTTAGGATTTAGGGTTTATGGTTTAGAGTTTAGGATTTAAGGTTTAGTGTTTAAGGTTTAAGGTTTAGCGTTTAGGGTTTAGGTATTAGGGTTTGAGGTTTAGGGTTCAGGGTTTATGGTTGAGGGTATAGGGTTTAGGTTTTAGGCTTGAAGTTTAGGGTTTAGAGTTTAGGGTTTAAGGTTTAGGGTTTAGGGTTTAGGGTATAGGATTTGGGGTTTAGGGTTAAGGGTTTAGGGTTTAAGTTTAAGCTTTAGAGTGTATGGTTTAGGGTTTAGGGTTAGGGATTAGGGTTTAGAGTTTAGGATTTAGGGCTTAGGGTTTAGGGATTAAGATTTAGGTTTAGGGTTTCGCGTTTCGGGTTAGGGTTTAAGGTTTAGGGTTTAAGGATTAGGGTTTAGGGTTTAGGGTTAGGAGTTTAGGATTTAGGGTTTACGGTTTAGGGTTTAGGGTTTATGGTTTAGGCTTAGGGTTTATGGTTTAGGGTTTAAGGTTTAGTGTATATGGTTTAGGGTTTAGACTTTCGGGTTTTGTCTTAAGGTTTAGGGTTTAGGGTTTACTGTTTAGGGTTTAGGGTTGAAGGTTTTGACATTAAAATTTAGGGTTTTTTTTTTCTTTTAAAACGACCCTTGACGGGTTCAGGGGCATAGAAACACCCCCATGCCTTATCATAAATAAAACAAACAAAGTACAAGGAGGGGGACGTAAACCTTAACTCCGATCTTATGGTGGTTCAAAATATTCCTTCCTACTTAGGAAAGTCCACTCATCCCCATACTAGAAAGATGAATCCTAAAATCTACGCACCTAAAAGAGAGGACTCCTCTCGATACAAAGAATCTAGGAACCATAAATAAGGGAGACTCTCCCCTTACATAACTAAGACAAGAATAAAACAAGGGAGACTCTCCCCTTACAAAAATAAGACAAGAATAAAACCTAGAAAAATGAAAACCTAAACAGGATATCCCAGAAGAACAGGTTCAAGATCAGGGAGGGTTCTTAATTCTTTTTAGTCTCTTTCTTCTGAAGGTTGACATGTCTAGTTTTTCCAGAATGAAACTTCCCTTTGCTAGTATAGGCAGCTGTTCCTTGGTGTAGAAATGCTGGATGATATCTGAAGTATGGCTAAATTTGGATAGATGATCAACAGTGTTGTTTGCTTCTCTGTAGGTGTGTGTGCATTTGAACTACTCCAATTGTTGGACAAGGTTTTGTAGGTCTCTAATGTATTGCTGTAGGTTCCAGGGGAGTGTGATCTGTTTTGAAAGCTACTTAATGACTAAATCAGAGTCAACTTCTAAGTGTATTTTCTTATAGCCATGTTGGATGCACCAGTACAGACCATGGCTAACAGCTTGGAGTTCAGCTTGATTGTTGGTACCTGTTTCTAGAGGAATAGCAAATGCATAAATCATCCTCCCCTGATGGTCTCTCAATATTCCCCCTCCACCAATCTTTCCAGGGTTGCTTAGTGCACTACCATCCGTATTAAGTTTAAGCAAATGTTGACTAGGTTTCTCCCATTTCACGATTCTAACCAAAGTATCCTGTCTGCACTTCTCCACCATTCTGAATAGATCATTCCAATTATTGGCCCATTGGATATAGGGAAATGCTGTGTTGAGTAAGTGAGTAGTGTCTTTAAGAATTAAAAACTTGACTCTAGCTGTGTTGGACTGTTTTGCACCATATTTTGCAGCACACCTATTTTTCCAGAGGTTCCAGATAATGAACAAAGGAATTAACTGGTTCAACAAGTTCTGTACTTCACTTTTGTGTTTTTGTCTCCACCATCGCAGCAGCATCATGTTTATAGGGATGTGATCATGATGTATACCTGAAGCTGCAGAGAAGAAACTCCATATATTGTTGGCAAAGTGGCCAGATATAAAAATGTGGTCTATATTGTCTTCTCCCGGTCTGTAACAACAGGAGCAGTGAGCAGCTTCCTTTCCAAAGTCGATAAGCTTCTCGTTAGTGGGAAGTTTTCTCCTCAAGGCCCTCCAAACTAGAAATGACATCTTGAATGGAAGGTGTCTATGCTAGATGTCTTTGTTGATGATGTTCTTATTGCCTTTATGTCTAATAATTTCCCAAGCTGAGGAGCAAGAAAACAAGCCATCAATAGTAAGTTTCTAGATTGCCTCATCTGGGACCTGTTTTTGGTATTGAATGGGAATACTCAAGATTTTAGGAACCAAAAGAGGGGGTACCCATTGTCTCACCATAGTCTCATTCTAGTTTCCACCTACTAGAAATTGAGAGATTGCGGTGGTGTTAAGACTAATAATATGAGTGCAATATGAGGCTAAAGGACCCTCTCCCAACCAATCATCCCACCAAAAGGAGCTATTACCGGAATTGATTTTCCATTTGATTTGAGCCTCGGCAATGCCTTTATTTTTTGACATAAAATTCCAGATCAAGGATTGCCCTGTATGATGCTTTTTGGCCACAGGGTGAGCCCTTTGGCAATATTTAGCCCTCAGAATTTGCCCCAATAAGGTTTGTTTAGTTCTGAAAGTCCACCATTGCTTGAATTTAAGAGAGGTGCAAACATCTTCAAGTTTTCTTACTCCAATGCCTCCTTCATCATAAGGTAAACTCAATTTATCCCAAGAAGCCCAATGATATTTCCTTTTTTCCTTATCCCACCCCCAAAAGAAATCAGCAATAGCTCTCTTCATATATCTGATAGTTGTTTTAGGAGGAGAAGTAGCTGACATTGTATGAATGGGGATTGATTGGAGAACATGTTTCACCAAAGTAACTTTGCCCCCAAAGCTTAACATTCTAGATTGCCACCCAGAAATTTTTCTTGTAATTTTAGCCACCAAATCAGAATAGTAAATAATTCTCTGCCCTCCAATGTATAAAGGACAGCCAAGGTAAGTAATAGGACTTCTGATTAAAACCAGTGACTTCTTTGATCATTGCACTGTTATCTTGAGGAGTATTTTCTGGAACCATGAAATGACTCTGTTCCTTGTTTATGAGCTGGTCAGACACTGTCTCATAGGTGGAAAGAGTCTTCATGATCATCTAGAGGGTATCCCTGGTTGTGGAGGAGAAAATGATGATGTCATCTGCAAAACTTAGATGATTAATTTGAGGTCCCCTGATCTCCATTTGAAAATTTCTGTAACTTTGATGGTGGTGAAGCATGTTGAGCATCCTGGAAAGTACCTCAGCCTCTAAATTAAATAGGGATGGGGATAAAGGATCCCCCTATTTGAGACCTCTAGTGGAATGAAATAATCCATGTCTAGCACCATTGATCTCAGAATACCAATTAGGGTTTAGTGTTGAAGGTTTTGACATTAGGATTTACGGTTTAGGGGCTTAGGGTTTAGGGGTTAGGGTTTAAGGTTTATGGTTTAGGGCTTAGGTTTAGGGTTTGGGGGTTAGGGTTTATGATTTAGAATTTGGGATTTGAGGTTTAGGAATTAGGGTTTAGTGCTTAGGCTTAGGGTTTAGGATTAATGGTTTAGGGTTAGGGTTTAGGGTGTATGGTTTAGAGCTTAGTATTTAGTGTTTAGGGTTTTGAGTTTAGGATTTTGCATTTAGAGTTTAGAGTTTAGGGTTCAGAATATAAATGTAGGGCTTAGTGTTTAGTGTTTAGCTTTTAGGATCTAGGGTTTATGTTTACGTGTTAGGGATTAAGGTTTAAGGGTTTATGATTTAAGGTTCAGGTTTTAGGGTTTAATGTTTAGGGTTTAGGGTTTAGGTTTAGGGTTTAGGATTTAGGGTTTGGGTTTAGGG